CCTTTAAGTTGATGAAGGACTGGCAGTTGATTTTTCCCACAATGATATGAGAAGAGCTGGCATTTCCATTGAATTTCATATAGCCTTGCTTTCCTAAAAGGTGCTTTCATCCTTCAGTTACGACTTTGCATGAACCCACCCCCAGCTGGACTCTAACCGTAATAGTGAGGCGTGTAATCTCGACACGTTACCCATTACGCCAGACTGCAATGAATGCCCTTGGGTCACAGGGCAGATGTGAATTTTAAGGAAGGTCGGGCATTTCCTATACCACATAGTGCTGAGATTGTTGATGAAGCAAAGTTATATTTGCTATAGCAATCGCCTGCATTTTTCATCTGTAATTAGGCTATCGAGACATATCTCATATATATGATTTACTGGTAGTCTCGAAAACCTACTTACAAATGAAAATTAAATAATATAGTCAGTTGCTATATCAAATTTAACTTTGCTTCATCGTTACTCCCATCACAGAATGTGATATGGGGAAATACCTGGCCTTCCCTAAAATTCAGATCTGTTCTGTGAGCCAAGAGCAGCAGTGGCCATTTGGCGTAGTGGCTAGCGTGTCCAGACTATACACTACATTGTCATGGTTCGAGTCCTGCTAGAGGTGCTGATGAGACGAGTTCAGGCGAGGTCGAAACTGCAGTCCGTTCTTGCCAGAATGAGATTAACTTTTGCGAAACAAGGTTATGTGAACTTCAATGGAAACGTTTGGTCTACTCATCAGATTGTAGGAAAATTATACTCCTAATTCCCTCATTATAAATAAATAAATTGAACATATATCTTATTTATTCGCCACCACTCAAGTTTTCCTTTTTCTCGCTACTTTTACCCTGTCTGACCCTATATTATATTCTTTTATTGCTATTTCTTCCTTAAATTTTCCCTCCTGCTAGTCCCTTTGTGCTTCTACCGATCAAGACCAGCTTGCTTTGTCTGCACAAAATTGCCTTCTCGACGCCACTCAGCTGACGCAGTCCATTCGTCTTGTGGCCCTGCATGCTAGACCTGCGGCACCAAGTACCGCGTCATCAGATCCGGAACCTGAAGTCAATGTCGAAATCCCCTGTCGTTCTAGTAGCCCTGGCATTGAGGCTCAAGTCAGGCTGCTCGATTCTGCTCGCGACGTCGTTGCTGACCTTGTTGGTCTCTTGACGCAGGCCAGGGCCGTGGCTGCAGCCAGCGTCGGTGGCACCGGACACTCGGCTGCCGGCGCTGATGCTTCATTTGGCGCCGGCGATGATAGCCAGTTCGCCATAGATCCGCTTACTTCGCGCCAGCTCAATGCGGCTCTCAGCGAAGCAGCCAAACAGGCAAGTTAGGACAAGGCAGGGCCATCATCCTTTAAGCGATCTGAGCAATGTAAACGTGTGTTTTCTAGAAAAGATGGGTCACTACAGATTGGATGAACTGATTCTGCTTGTCCTCTTCACCCTTGTGCCTGGCTTTTCAGGCCTTATCATACGACTTTTCATAATCAGTCCCACAGATGACCTAAAAGCAGGCAGAATTTTGTGCACTGCACCTTCAGACTATTCCCACAT